TTATGGTGATAAAATAAATTGACTTTGAAAATAAAATATGATATGAAGAGCTAATAGGTATACATAATATCATATTTTATTTTGAAAGTCAATTTATTTTTTCACCATAAAATTGAAACTGATAATTTTTTTAGGATATATTTATATGAGCCATCTTGTAAAGAACTGCTGCTGATGCTATCTTCATAAAATAAACTTATTTACAGAATTACAATTAGCACGTGTGTGTTAGCCATGTTGTTCGTTCTTCTTTTTTCTCCTCTTCTATCGTCTTGAGTCTCGTCTTATCTCGTTCTCGTGTTAACTCGTTATTACGAGATAGTCACGACACTACACCTATATAATGTGAATTTCAGTGTCCTTATTACAAATTATTGATAATAATCTGTTTGATGCGCGTCAGTAATTAATCTGCAAACAAACTAATTTCAACATAAATTTCTATTCATAAATAAATCCAAAAAATATATTTGATTAACACAATCTTCTATCCATGATTATTTTATCTAGACACCTCCAAAGATTCGCTAAAACCTGTGCATACATAATGAAAAAATGCAAAGGTTTATCGTCCAAATATTTATGCTATTATTAAGAGTCAAGACTAAAGGACTTTTTATGTAAAAATTATACATTTTAATCTTTTTTAGAAATTTCGAAATTTTGGTTAAAAACTTATTTTTCTGGCGACCGTAAAGTAGTATGGGTAATTTAATCGTCTTTTTGTGGTAGATTCAGATAAAAAAAATCAGATAAAGGTCGGATGAACGAATATATATTTGAAATGATTGCTTTTTAGCAAATCTTGGTAAAAATATATATTTTTTACATCTCTTACCCCCAATTAATTTTATTTTATTTTATGAAATTCCCAAAAATTCATTTTTTTGTAACTCTTATTATTTTAGCAAGTTATAATCTCAATCTTTCTCATAAAAAGTTCGTTTTTGGTTGCCAGTACGATTTTGCATACCTGTCATAGACGCCAGGTGCTAGTCATTTGCGTTAAAAACAACAAAAGAACTCGTGATTGTAGCCTCGATGGCAAGACAACAACAAAAAAAAAAAAAAAGAAAAGAAAAAAAACGAGATAACTCGTTGTCAGCATCATATTAAAAATGCCAAGTACGAGTTATCCCGTAGTCGTGGTTGTCAGTCAATATATTAAATATTCAGAAAAGTTTCTCCCACATGTTAATTTAAGCTACGAGTGATTTAGGACAAAGCATTTCATTACTGAAGATTTTTATTTTTTTATAAAGGAAAACATTTTAAAAATTCCAGCAACACTTTTTATTTCACAACCCTTAGCCTTGAGCCTTAGGTTTTGTCATCACTGCATCATACGATGGACACAAAATACAAAGCACGGATGTTAAAAAAGGGAGACGTTAACAGACAGGCTTAAACATTGACAATAGAATGAGAATAGTCTAGATTAAATAAAGGGTTTGGTTCGAAATCTCCTGAAGGTTACTTTGAACGATAGATACCTGAAGAAGGCTGAATGGTTAGCCGATCGAAACGTTATAACAACAAAGATCAGATTATTAGTCTACCTTACACATTCATAACTCTACCATTCGTCCATGTATTGAATATTGCTGTCACATTTGGTCTGGTGCTTCTGCTATATATTTATGGTTCTTGACAAAATACAAAGAAGAATCTGCAATGTTATTCGTCCTTTCCTGGCACCTCGGCTTCAGTCCCATTCTCATTGCCTTTTCTATAAACACTTTCATGGTAATTCTTTTGATGAACTTACCTATATGGTACTTAGATATTATGAGTTTAAGCGTGCTACTAGATTGGCTGCAATGTCTCATCATCTTACAGTTGAAATGGCTATTTGCATTATTTACATTATTCGGACTGTTATCCTCATCTTCATTACCATATTCACAACGTTTCGGCCGTTGTACGCTCTGGCCTTCTTCAGGTGATTGGAATTTCGAACCGATCCCTTTATTTCGTCTACCGGGGTAGATTGTTCTAGTTCCACGTGCCATGCCTCTTTCGGATGTCCCAGTTATTTCCCTTTAACTCGACTCTCCAAGTTTTGGTTCACCATTGCTGTAGCCTGGTATTGAACTCCTAAATCTTTGGGTTTAGTTACTGGCTCTACTTTGCATCTTTATCATATGTCCTTGAGGCATCAGGAAGAGGTGGTGGCTTTGGTGCACCGGCTATATATTTAGAGATTCTTGATAAAATACTGAGAAGAATCTGCAATGCTATTTGTCTTGATCTGACATGTAAGCACCCCCCCCGTAACGTAGCCTCTTTTTTTTATAATTGATTTCATGTTAATTGTTCTGATGAACATTCCTTTATGGTTCCTTGACCTTTATGAACTTAAGAGCAGTACTAGATTGTCGGCAAGGTCGAATCACTTGAAATGGGGAGATGGAACCGTAAGTTCTTTGCTAACATTTTCTTGTCTCTCACGTTTCCCCTATTCCCTTTCGGGCTTCCTGCTTCCCAGTCAATTTTGATCTTCAAAATTTTAAATGCAATGTCAATCGTTATCTTTTATCTTTTTAATTCATTATCTTTTATTGTTCTCTCTCCTTAATAGTGTTTTTTCTCATGTTCTTTCACACTCAGTAACACTTACATTTTAGTGCCTTGCTTGTGGTGAAATGATTATATATATATGTACATATATATTAATGTAATTTTGGGCAGCAACATTTCTTTTAAATATCTTTCATTTAAAATGGCAGAAAAGGAAGATTTAATTTGTGTTTAGTTTTTCCAGCATCATTCCATTTTATTCCATTTTATAGAAGTCAGGGTGTATAAAATTTTATCATAATTTTCATTGTCTCAAGCCCTTCGGCCACTTCTTTAGCTATTTTCAAGGCGGGGGGGTTGATTTGACTATTTAAGTTGTATTTTATTTTTGTGTTGTTTTTGAATAGGAGGGATTTTCCTACCAATGGCGTATTGAACGCGACTGGAATTCGCGTGAACATCTTTTTATTTAAATATATATTTTTTAAATCACTCTATTTCTATTGTTAAATAAGGATATTGGTAGTAGGAAAGAGATGTTTCATATACAGGGCATCTCGAATAGGAAAAATGTTTCCGGTAATTAGATTTATATAGAATTTTATTGTTATCGAACAGGATTCTTATAAATTGTAGCTTGATATGATTTGATAAGTGACACATAATGAGTCTACTCAAGTGCAAGTATGTCCGATACAGGTAACAGATTTCTAAGAAAAAACACAATCCTGTACAAAGCAGTGAAATTGATACACTATATTGGTCATCGCTAATAATAAATATATACTACTAATAAATATATATTTGTTCCTGAGCGCAGTAGATTGATATATTTGTTATATCTTTTTATAAGATAATATTTTAAATATTCGTAAATTTTACGAATATGGCTATAGAGAGTAGGAATTGAGAAACTTCTAAAATTTTGGTTTATAGTGTTCTTAAATTTAAAGATTTTGATAACATAAAGATATTTTTTTACTTGCGTTTATATGTAGAAAAATAAAGTCCTTAGATTTAACTTGATAAAAACTATCATGGGACGAAACGCGTTGGTTAAGAAAACGTTTCCTTTTGACTTTATTCATACTGTCTTTTTATATAAATCTCTTATTCATTTATATCTGAAGTTTTACTCATATATATATATATATATATATATATATATATATATATATAAGCCAACTAGATATGCATATAGAGAGATAAAGATCAAGAATGGGTTTAATAAAGAACAAGTCAAAATCTAAAGAGAATAAGAGAGAAAATGTTTATGGTAAAAAGGTAAACATTGAAGAAAAAAAAAAAAAGAGGCAAAAATATGCTCGCTAGCATGATAGATAGATAGATAGATAGATATATAGATAGATAGATATGAACAGTCTCTTATATATATATATATATATATATATATATATATAGTCTCTTATATATATATATATATATATATATATATATATATATATATATATATATGAAGAAAAAATATATACGGAAAAAACAAATAAAAATCTTATATACAATTTATACTGTTTTAATGTTAATATGTCAACGTCGGACGTTTCGGTCTAATAAACCATCTTCAGGACATATTCATAAATTATAACATTATCAATACAACATGACAACATTAAAACAGTATAAATTGTATATAAGGATTTTTGTTTGTTTTTTCCGTATATATTTTTCTTCATACTATCGGATCTATATCCATATATTTGCTTATATATATATATATATATATATATATATATATATATATATATATATATATATAGATAGATAGATAGATAGATAGATAGATATGAACAGTCTAAGATAGATAGATAGAGATAGATAGATAGATAGATAGATAGAATATGAACAGTCTAAGATAGATAGATAGATAGATATGAACAGTCTAAGATAGATAGATAGATAGATAGATAGATAGATAGATAGATAGATAGATATGAACAGTCTAAGATAGATAGATAGATAGATAGATAGATAGATAGATAGATAGATAGATAGATAGATAGATCGTATCGTTCGGTAACGCTAGTTGTCATTGAGGAAAACTATTCGCGTTCTATCGACCCTGGGATGAATGAGTCATTGCTACTTATGATCATGTGACTGTAATTAGTTTATCAATAACTCGACCCAACTTGATTGTGCAAACAGGGGAACTGATATGATAGACACTCGACACCTTCGTGGTGGTAGGGGTGACGCAGCTTTGGACAGACACCCACCCCCCACACCATCTGCAGCGAAATTAATTTACTTAGAAGCACAATCGTACACATTATTAACGAATATACAGTTTATTTCTTAGAAAATACGTTTACGTACGTATTTATACACCATTATCTAGTTGTTCCTTTTATATCTATCTATCTATCTATCTATCTATCTATCTATCTATCTATCTATCTCTCTCTCTCTCTCTCTCTCTCTATATATATATATATATATATATATATATATATATAAATCTATAGATAGATAGATAGATAGATAGATAGATAATATTTCAGTCTGTTCATATCTATATATAACTCTATTTATCTCAATCTGTTCATTATCTATTACACACACACAGACACACACACATTATCTATCTATCTATCTATCTATCTATCTATCTATCTATCTATATATATATATATATATATATATATATATATATACTGCGATCTGTTTAAACTGCGTAGTTCGAGAATCCTTCTTTCGTTGATCAACATTGGGTGGAGGTCTGATATTTTGTACATGTTTTACGGGATAGGAGGCAGGACAGCTGTTATTGGCTGTCAGATTAGTGTTTTTAGCAAACAAGAGAAATATGAAGATGTCTTCGTAGTTTATTCCTCACCGAATCTCTCAATACCGATTCCATTGCAAACAATTACGAGGAGGAATGGTGAGAAAAAGAACTTCGAACCTAATTACAGTAAATTATGCCCAATACGAGAAATCAATGCACACCAATATATCTATGTACATAGTGGTGGTGGTGGTGGTGGCGGTGGTGGTGGGAAACTTCTCGACCCGACCACATGCTAAAATCTGCTCAAATGACAAAACAGATTATTTAAAAAACTCCTTTTTGGGATGACTTTTTAAGTGCCACTCATGTGTACGTGGGTTAAGTGAAGTAGTTTAATGTCCAAAAAGCAAAAGTGAGTAAATGTTGAATTTAAAAATTCTGAAAAACTAACGCCATTTTTTACTTCCGTGGAGAAATACTTAATAAAGTCCATCAGAGGACGAATCGCGTCGGCTTGAACTTAGCCGACTTAACTTAGCTGAATAACAGCTATTCATATTGTCTTTTTACAGTTATATATTTTAGTTATACCGAATTTTTACACACACACACATACACATATATATATAATAATCGACTCTCCCGTCGAGATCCGACGTATGAGGGTCAAGCAGATCAGTTTCCAGGAAACCGACAGCCCGACAACGGCACATGAGATTTGATTATAGTAGTGAAGGCTTCGTGTAGGACCATCCACCCTTTTTGAAGGGACGAATACAGAGACCTGGTGCACCGAATGCCGCAAGGTTCCCAAACGACCCACCGCAGGTTTTGAATTCAGAGTTGTCCTTCTTTTAGACCAGTTGCCATCAAGGCTATAGAACCCAGTCTGTCCTGCTATTTTACCCATAGCTGGAGGGACATTATTTTTGCACCAACCTAATATATATATATATATATATATATATATATATATTAGGTAAAATGCAAAAAATAATGTCGTTCAACTTAACGTCAAAAAACGACATTATTTTTGCACCAACCTAATATATAAGAAGAAATATATGTTTATACGTTATTTTAAAGGATACAGTTTTTAAAATAAACAGTATTAATTGCATTTACCGGCCTGAATGTTCAGGAAAAATCAGAGCAGTTACTTAAATAAATTGTATTTGTATCAATCAACCCACTCAATGCATTAGCCGTTCATCGTAATCAATCTGACCATCAACGCGAAGAAGGCTGCATTTAATTAAAAAAGAAACAAATCTACTAAGACGAAAATGTATAGAAAGGGCACTGATTTCTGAGTCTTCCAATGTAAATTTATGTCCTACAAAATATCTACTTTCTTAATGAATCTTCTGTTGTGACATTGTGGCATATTAAAAACATTGATGTGAATTTTTTACGGCTTATCAACCCACTGTGGATTATTTATAGCCGAAAAATTTTTGAACTGTAAGAATAATTTCTTTTTTCTGCGAGTGAACACTGCATTAACAATTCTTTTAGAATAACAATGATATTAACAGATATAAGCCATACTATTTAACCCATAGCTGGGGAGAGGAAATCCATTAGCAGATATAAGTTTACTATTCAACCCATAGCTGGGGAGTGAAGATTTATTACCAAATATAAGTCGTACTATTTCTGTTTCGGAACTTAAATCTGTTCCATTTTCAAGTGATGTTGGATAACTTATGATGAAAATGATTTACTTTTGAAAACAATGTTATTTTATTTAAGAGTTTTTGAGGGAGGAACAAGATTTCAAAATTTGTATGGGTTTGTCTTCTTTGACCAATGAAAAGACAGGTCAAAGCTAAAGCGGAAAAGCGTAACAATGGTGTGTGTGTGTGTGTGTGTGTTATTCAGTCTTGTCTGGATAAATCGTCATTTGTAGACATGTCACCAGTTTACATCCGGTTAAGAATATGATTTTAATTACAAAGAGATGTGTATCCAGAAAAAGGTTAATTTTATATATTATATTATTTTCATACTAAAATACTATACTTATTTTATTTAATGGGGCATAGGACATGATAATATTAAAATTAAAATCAAGGAATTAAATAAATATTTTATGTACTATTATATATAATAAAATAATGGATATATAATTTTAACATGCAGTTTTTTTTTTTTAGAAAAATTCTATTAGCAATATTTTAACATATTGTACAATGACTGCATACTATGGCAAGTTCATTTCGTTGATTTAATAGATCATTACTTTTCGGAAACCTAATAATATGTTGCTTTTCATGTAGACACAGGGGATATGGATCATTTAATGACTTACAAATTCTAGTTTTTTTTAAAAACATTTTCCACTTTACTGTGTGTGTGTGTGTGTGTGTGTGTGTGTGTTTAATTTATTTTAAATACCAGAAATATTTTGAGAGGAATCTTCGGTTTCGGTACCTATTGTTATTAAAAGAAGAAATATGTTGATACCATCTTTTTTAAAAGGGTTCTTTGTGTTTCCAATATAAAATTTCTGAACATCTGGGTTTTCAGTAGATGAAATGTTGCACTGGTAAACAATAGATTCGGTAAGACATTTATTTCCAATGGACAATTTATGAGATTTTTACAATTACATAATATATTATCAATATTATTGTTTTTTTTTTTTTTTTTTTTAATTACTATTATTTTTACTTAGGTTTAAGTGTTTATATAAAATTTATTATCATGTTGTTTTTTTGTTTTTTTTTTAATAATTTTTAGATTATCAGTACATAGCTATAGCTTCATTTTAGCGTATTTTTATTGAAAATCTTGCTAAGAGGGTTATTCCTTGGAAAATGTTTTCCAATCAAATCAAGAAACTTTTGCCCTAACTTACTGCTAATCATTTGGTCAAATTGGGGTGTGTACCAAATGATTTTTCTATTTCTATTTTTCTCCGGTTATTGTTATTATCATTTTTATATCAGGGCATTTATAGCCACTGATTTTTAAATATATATTTATAGCCACTGATTATATATATATATATATATATATATAATTTTCCATAATTTCCGGCTTCCGAAAGACTAAACATCAAAATTTAGGGAAAGTCACTTCTTGGCCAAACTGAAAGCTTTTTAGTATAGATATATACTAAAACATTTATAGGATCCATTTAAATCAACATGTAAAAAACGCACCGGCCCCTATATACTTGTCAAACGTGCAAACACAATACCTATTTCTAACTGTAGAAAACGTTTACAAATAATAGAAGCTGGAATAAAAAGAAAAGAAACAAATCTAACTACAAACACTGGTCATGTATAGCAATTCAAAACATATTTATGTATCAGCAACTTAAATTCTATTTACAATCATACAAATCATATCCTTGAAAATGATTAATAAATTAGCCGAAAGCTCCCGAAACGAACAATCATTTGGATAATTTCTCTATAGACTAAAAAGGGGAAAATATAATAAAGAAACTTAGTCGAAGAACTTTTCAGTCATTTTCAATGAAACATGTTATCAGAGATGTGATGCTGCTAAAATGTTTCAGAGGTCTTTAACGTCTTTGTTTAGACATTCATAGAATGCAAATTGACTTTAACTTGAAAACTACTGCACGTTACAAACACTTCAGCTTCTACAGAAACTAAACAAGTAGAAAATCCTACTTTTCTTAGATCGCAATCCATAAATAAAACCATATATGTATTAGAAAACTTCACACTCATATAAAAATTCAATGTTTTCAGCTGACTAATTAGCGAGGTTAGAAGAGTATTTCAAAGCATTTTTTGTTTTTTTTATACATCCAATGCAAATCTCGAGAACCACTCAAAATAGAGCTTATTGTAAAAGTGAAAGATGATAGGAATTTAAGATTATTAGCATAAGGCGGCCAGTCCGTTCCACAACTTGGCAGCTACTGAGAAAAAGCCGTCTGAGCGAAACTTTCTCCTTACATTTCGAATACAAAAGAAATGCAGTTGATTCGACTTCGCCTAGATAGCATTGCGTGTTCAAGCTGTAAATGTCTGAACTGGTAGAGCTAAAGAATGGAGCGTCCATCGTAACATTTCTCATGGAAGTTGCGATATATTAGCAACAGGCTTGCAACGTTGCGTCTGTTGGCAAAAGGTTGTAGAATTGCGCATAAGTCCATCGCCCCGTTAGATTGCGTAAGCGTTTTTGAACTGTCATATTTGGAAAGTGAGGATCGCGTAGCTCCAGCACAGATATAGAAGAAATACTTGATTTTTGGTTTAATCTTACACTTGTAAAGATTCCGATTTGACCAAAAAAAAAAAAAAAAAAAAAAATGAAACGTTGCTGCCACATCAGGTCTGGAATTGCTGCTTGAAAGGCTCTAAACTATTCTAAAGGATCTAACAGATTGGCAAAGAGCAAAATAACATTTCTAAAAAGATACCGTTTTTATTCAGAGGGAAGTTATCCACAACGCAGAATGCAATAACATTTTGCTGCCTTTATTGTTTGTTTCTTTTTCCGCTAACTTAACCGTGAAAGTTTTTCGACAATGTCCGTACTGTTTTTTGCAAAATGTGTTTAAGGGCAACCTATTTAGTCTACATGTTTCGCTTTAAACTGTTTTTGCGGCACGGTGAAAGGGAGGACTTTTGAAAGGTGGGTGACTCCATTTTAATCCTCATCTCGAATTTCATGACCCTCCGAGAGCAGAAAAATAGGTCAGTAGAAACGGTTTACTCAATCATGACATTCTTGGAATATACTTGAGACTATCTTGAGAAATTTGATCCTTCAAGGAGTTTCTGAATTCTTGGTTGGCGACAAAAGCAGAAAGAAAAGTGTAAAGAGAGAAGGGAGGGAAAAGGAGAGAGCAAAATAAAAATAGAGAGAAGGGGAAAAGAAAACGGAGAGAGTTAGAAATAAATGGGAAAAGGAGAAAAGAGAGAATAAAATCAAAGGGAGAGAATAAGTACGAATTAAAAACTGAAGTAAGGGTGACATAAGCAGAAAAGCAGGAGCAAAGATCAAGATGCAAAACAAGAAATGGAAAGAGAAAAAGTGAGAAAGAGAGGGGTAGGGGGGAGAGAGAGAGAGAGAATTAGAGTGGAAACGCGAGAGAAAGCGAATGGAGAAAGAGAGTGAAAAGTATTAGCGAGAAGAGCGAGAAATAAGGTGATGGAATAAGAAAGACTAACAAAGTGTGTTTGTGTGTGTGTGTCTGTGTGTATGAGTGTGTGTGTGTGTGAGAGAGAGAGAGAGAGAGAGAGAAATGCAAAAAAGAGAAAAATCATACATACTAGGTGCGATGGGTAAATTGTCGCCATTTTATATTTTTAATTTCGTGGATATACGTTGTTTGTTTTTGAGTTTCTCGACTTCACAGTGTAGTAGGGTCAGTTGGGCACCGTCTGCGAGAAAAAGGGCACCATGGCGCAATTCAGTCCACCAGAAATTTGGAAACGGCATGCTGTACAGCTTAGCATTCGCACCAGAAGCTCCAATACGAACATTTCAGAGTGTTTGGGTGTCAATCTGTGGACATTGTAGAGGATTTGGAAACAGTTGGGTGATATATTCAGTCAACATCATAGTGTTTGGAGTGATCACTAGTGATTGTGATGTTATATTTCCATTCATCTTCCCACATAGCCTCAGACTTAAGGAGGGAGAAGAAGGTGGCTGCTGGAAGATCCTATGTCTGGCAACAGGACTCTGCACCATGCCACACAAACAGGAGAACCCAGTCATGGCGGTCAGACAATTTCTGCGACCACAACTCTCCTTACCCCTGGCCACCTGATTGTGACCCCCTTGATTATTATGCGTGGGGCGCAGTTTAGCCAGAGACCAACACAACGCCTTGTAACACCAAAGATAAATGAAGGTAAGGATTATGTCAACATTGACCAACATAAATAAGGAGACCGCACAGAAGGATTGCAGGAGATTCCGAAGTCGCCTGGAGACCGTGGTTGGTGATTTTATTGAATAAATTTACTCATTAGTATTTCAAGATATTTTGTTAATTTTGGTAAATACATCTGCTAAAATGAGACGTCGGCGTTATTTTACTTTCTGCATAATTTGGACGAAGATTTATCCATGCACCATATATATATATATATATATATATATATATATATATATATATATATATATATCCTGAACTTGCGTTCGAGCGAGAACTGCTGACACTCGGTACTGACCTAAGTGTCCATTTTTATATTTACACACGCTCTATTCACCGTACTGATCACTTTTACCAATCAAACTTAGATGACAAAGTGGAAAACGTTTTCTTGTCACGCGTTTCGTCCTTTATGACATCATAGGGCTAAATTTGTTATGTTCGTACGACTACGCATGCGCACGAACCAGGGATGCTGGGAATTATAAATTGATTTTTTTTTTTGTAGGCGATTTCATTAAGATTCTTTTTCTTTCCATCACCTTTTGTTAGTAGATATCTCATACTGTGATAACAGAAGTTCCGCCAGGAATGGTAAAATATTGTAAGAGTCAGGCCGCAAATTAGACATTTTCGTCGTAGTGGTTGCCCAACGTAACGAGACTGACCACAATTTTGACATAAAAAAATGCTAGGAGAAAACAATTTATTTATTTTATTTTATTCATTTATTTTCGTTTATTCTTGTTCATTTACATTTTTCGATTTGTACGTAACATAGTAAAAATTTGTTTTTGTGTCTGCATTTTCAAATGACTTCTGATCTTTTATGTAGTAGTTTGTAGAAACTACTAAATACACGATCAGAACTCAAATAAACAAAATCAAGTAAAATACATTAATCCAAACAAATAAGTAAACAAAGTAAATAATAAACAAATTAACAAACCATGTACGCACAGATAAGCACAAGAAACCGTAGTAATAATAATGAACAATAATCAATAATAAAATGTTAACTAACAACACTATAAATAGCCCCCAATTATTCCCACTCAATGACCTCTAGAATAATTCGAAAGACTACCGTTATCATCCACCAAACTAACCGTTAGAATAATACAATAGACTACACACAGTGCAATACAACACACTACACACAATACATCATAGACCTATATATATATAAACAGTAGGGCAACGCACATAGACCGACGATTGCGTTTAGCATGAAACAGACTGTCTCTTCTGTCTGTTGACTTCAATACCCACTTTTATATATATAGGGAGAGATTATAGTAGTTCCAGAGAGAGAAAAGTGTATAAAGAGAGAAGATGCCGTTATAATGTGGATTTTTTTATATATTATATTTTATTTTCTATATTTTTTGATACACGTGTTTTGGCTCTTGTGAATTTCATCAGGCGAAGAATTATTTTTTTCTTTTGTTTTAAAGGATTTAATTTTTTCTTATGTTATGCCAGAAGATGTAACCTTATGAATGACCCATGTCCTTTGTACTTACATGAGAAACAATATATTACTAGGTTTATATATATAAAAAATAAAAGTTTACTAAATCAGTAAATTAAGTAGCTATTTTTGCCGTCATTGTCATAAATTTTACTTAAAAAAAAATGTACCCTAATATACATACTTATACTTGTTGTAAAAATAATCCTACATAATATAAGGGATTCTAATACATTTAACTGTTCATAAAAAAAAAATATAGTATAATAAAAATTAAAAATGAGAATATTTCAAATCGTAGTTAAATAAAAAGTATTCAAATCTGAACACCCCCGAAAATCTTTAAATTTACAAATAGGAAAAAAAATGCCGTAAGAATTTTTTGCCGTTAACAATAAATTTAAAAAAAAAGCAGACGACATGCATTCAACGGATGTCAGTTCTCATTGAAAAATACATCCTTACCCCTTACCAAAATGTAGCTAATAACCGATACAATGATACAGACATAAGGAAAACCCAGACAACCCTTGTCCAATTGAAGTAGATTTATCTGTAACCATGGAAACGTGATTTTAGCTGTGTCTTTAAAACCCAGTAATTTTAAAAGTTACTCCAAAATTCGCTTGAGGATGAAATGGAACTAATGTCTTTAATTTAATTGCAAAATTAAAATTGTAAATTTTTGAAACATGGTTAGAACTCTGTAGCGAAAAAAACATATTTTAAATCAATTAATTTATAATATATATATATATATATATATATATAGGGTGGGTATGAATAAATTCCCTATTGAAAATTACTTATAACTTTTGTTAATATCCGAACATTTGATTTGTTTTATTTCAGAATGACAAGTGTAGGCTAGAATGGCACAGCGCCTAATACTGCATGAGGGTGCTCAGCTGTTATCTCGTTACGAAGTGTGGCAGTCCGTGGGACAAGTACGGAGATGGTGGCGCAGTGTTTATGGACCTCGTGCTTCAGTAGATGGCAAAACCATCAGAATGTCTCCTTCTAAGCTGATTAGTTGGGCACCTGTGGTAGATATCCATAGAAGCGTCCATCCTTCAATATCCAGATTGGAAGAAAATTCAAAAGACAGAGAAAATGATGAGCATATACCCAGGTGATTACAATCACTGGTAGACAACGCTGGGGCCGATGTAGAATTTCAACATTGTACTGTGCTTCTATCATTATAATGTTCAAATCTGTTTTATGAAATTCGACCAAAAATTAAAAAAAAATATTAACAATTTTAAATAGGGAGTTTCTTTCCATATACCGGGCGTAACAGCAAACTTGTCTAAATCATGTAACAGGAAGCAATAATTGTCTATGCTACACAATTTTTAATACCTAAAAAAAAAAAACAACATAAAACTAATTCTTTTAATAAAAGTGGTGGTTGGAGTAAGGGTGTCCGGGTGGATTTTTTCTCCCTGTTCTTCTGTTTGAAATTCAAAAGAAGCTAGCCATCGTGTAGTCTATCTGCTGAAATCAGTCTTTTCATATTTAGTTTCTTTTTCCCCAGGTTTTCAGATAAGACGTTTAGCCATCTTGACAACATTTGTCGTAAGAATCATTTTGAGTTAATTCAGCTAGAAAGAGAAGAGGATAAATCGTTTTGTGTCAGACCCATTGTCTCCTCAACTGAGCAATGTTGAGAGTACAAAGATCATTCAGGCCTTTAGTAATGGTACCAAAATTCATATTCTGGCTTCCATTTTCAAAGTCCATTCACGAATCATCAAGAAAACGGTAAATAAGTTTAAAAAAGAGGGACTAATTGAGGAAAACTGGAACAGGAGGTCACAGCAGGAAGAGGATCATCATTTCAACTTAGAGCTAAATGCATTCTTATTGTGCAAAGTAGTGTTATAAAAATCCTCGGATAATTCCAGTAAGATATCTTTAATCATTTCTAGGAATGGTTCAAAGCTTAATCTAACAATTAAACAATTTTGCTGTTACATTTGATATATGCATGTATATATACACACACACACACACTCTCTCTCTCTCTCTCTTACTTAATATAAATTATCGAACTATGAGTGACTGTTAATCTTGTTAATATATTTCATTTGTAGGTAGAATTTGGTATTTTTTGAAATGGGAATCTAAAATTTTTTTTAAATATAATTAATTTTTTAATATATGAAACTCGCTTTTCGGCCCTCTTATTTTCAATTCAACACCTCATTCTTCATAGAACCCCAGTTGAGGGTCACAAGATTAATATCTGGGTTGAATTTGTGGAGCTTCTTCCCTTTAAGACTGATACTTTCCTCCCTGGCCTTACCACTGACTCGGACATTTCGTCTGACTGAGGCATTCATATGGGTGGCTTCTGTAACCACGCTTTTTCGAAGAACTGAATACAGCAAACAGGTGCACACACAAGGTCACCCAATGAACCTTCTCAGGTTTCGAATTCAGAAGTGCTCTTCTCTTAAACTGGTTGCCAGCCAAGGCTAAAGAGCCAAGTCCGCCCTAGTATTTAACCCATAGCTAGGAGAGACAAACAGATGAATTCATACTTTTCCCAAGAGTATTATCGCATAAGTGATGCATGTAATGAACTCGCCTGGA